AGTATCATTCTCGTGAACCTTTCTAATGGGATTGTAAGGCACATGTTTTGAGTAATAATCAATGTAAGGCTTCATCATACGATGGTACACTTTCCATGTCTTGACCACGTCCATACCGCTGTCCAGGAATACCGCACCAGCAACAGACTCAAAGACGTCACCAAGGACTTTAGGAGCCTCTACTGCACCATCGTCATTATCAGACATGATTACAAAGGGATCCTCGTCGACCTGACAACAACATGATAATAAACRTTAACTTATAATCAACCTTGTTCCGAGACTCATATCCCCTTCGCTTAGAATCAGGCGGGAAACATCATCATCATCATGAACTTCATCAGCCAACCTACTAACAGTGATAATGTAGGAAGAATTCTTCACCTGAGGTTTGCCTTCCTTTCGATCATCTTCGAGTTGCTGGACAAACGAGTTGATTTTCCTGAACCAATCCGGTGAAGTGTACTTGAGATACTTGTGGTAGTCGTGCTCAACAGCAATCTTAGCGAAAATATTGTTATTAACCAATGCTTGCCGTAAGTCTGTTAGTTCCCCTGGAGAAAGATTGGGATTGTTTGAGTATAAACACTCTGTCACCAGGAAGTCCAACACCGCGTCACCAAGGAACTCCAGTCTYTGRTAGCAGTCAGGAGCCAGAGTGTTGTATTGGTGTGAGGCATGGGTCAGCGCTTGAAGAAGAAACATTTTATCTTGAAACTTGTATTTTAGASTTTTTTCAAAGCCCTTCAGTTCCTCGGACATGTCCTCGMGTAGTTTAGGATCATCAGTAAGAGGAATTATTTTCTGTGTTCCAAAATTTGCATATTTTGACGAAGTGTGACTTTCATCCATGTCAGATTCTGGGTAAACCTGAAATATAAATAGTTAAAGTTATCAGTTGTAAAGCCCTCATCATCGTCATCATCAAGTATCGTCAACATCATCATAGTTCATGTTGTTAACCAATAATCATTGTGATGATCATAAGTGTGTATATCTAGCAAGTGGACCACAGTATTAAGTTTCTAAGCATCGCTATCGGTCATAATCATCATCATCATAGATCATAATCATCATCATCATGGATCATAATCATCATCATAATGGATCATAATCAATTGTCAATCATCACAATGATTATCGTCATCATCAACAGACCTTGATTCCCAGAAATTCCAAGAAGGTTAGTGCTCCTTTGTATCCACAAGATATCAGATAAGCACCGATCAATGCTTCGATGCTGTCAGCAACTGACTTGTCTGAGATGCACTGCTCTGATATACCACATCTTTCGCCGTCTTCGTCAAGTTTAAGTTTCTTCATCTTATTGATAGAACTGCTGCTTGATTGAATCACGTGATAGAGAGATGGAGTCAGCCATGTCTTCCGATCAAGTACTGTATTCTGCATGAACAAAGGAAGTCCCTTGCGATTGGAYGCYTTATAAAGGTTTAAATTACTGATCTCTTTTACTTTACGCTTTGTAAGCTTGCCTTCGTGGTTGTTCTGATAACTGCAGTAAAGGTGAATTGATACAGCCTGCTTAAGAAACGCGTCGCCCAGCATTTCTAGACGCTCCAAGTCGAAGGCATCTCCAGCGCCTTTTGTCGTCATAGCTTGTAGAACAAGAAACGTGTCAACACAAGWAACATCCCTCTGAGAATTGCTCGAGAACCATTCTTGTAGGTGWTTAYTGCTGATCTTAACGTTTGCTTTACCGATCGGTGAGAGATGTGCTTGGCCATGTGATTGMCATTTTGATCGAGTTATCTTCATCTGTGAGCAGTCATTCGCGATGAGTTGAATGACTTCCTCCACTAGTAGAAGTGAAGTAATTCTGTGGAGAATGGATGGAAGTACAGCTGCGTCGTGTAGAAAGCACGCCGAGAAAGGATGGAGAGARCAGTGCTCAGGAATAAAATGAATATCTTTTCTTGATTCTTTGACTTCTCGCTTCGTTTTCTTGCGGTTGACAAGAAAATTGATTCTCTCTGGGAAGCGTTTGACAAGGAGTAATGGCTGTCGACGATTCGTTGTTGTTAAATCGTAGTTTGTCCKGAARTAYTCATCGTACGTCTTGGCTTTAGCTCTCTCTGGAAAACCACTTGAAGGGCTAAGATGCGTACAAATTTCTTCAACAATGAATCTCTCGTTGCGTCTGTGATGGGGAGTTATCARTGATTCATGTTCTTGCAGAAAGCTTATGTCCATAGTTTTTGACTTGTGCCTTATTTTGCCTATTTCTTCCATGTCAATRGTTGCTTGACCAGAATTCCACGATAACGGGACAATGTAATAACCATCATTCATAGCGGACTTTGACTCGCAGGGCATTCTTAGCAGCTCAGAAATGAGTTGGCTGTGGAACTTATCGATGAGGGAGATGTCGGTCTTTGACAGTTTAGTTGTACTTAAAGAACACTCATGAGTCGAGACTACCATTTCTGTGCCATCTTCTTGGTAGATTATAAATGGACGAATCTGGATTGCAAAAAAAATGAACGTTATTTTATTAGCATTAATAGGAACTGGAATAACTTGGAATGAAATGCCGTGATTTGMAAATAATCCTTTTGAATTTCATACATCAAAACAGTTTCGTATTTACTGGGGGATTTCAGGCACATACCAATACTTGATAGAACTGATTAGCTTATATGTCCGGTAAAGCAGGTTTTACCTCAGGTAGCTTTGAGTTCAACATTATTCCAAATTTCACAAATGTATTTTGCTCAATTGATGGTTGCTTTTTGGTGAAGGAGTACAAGAAATATCTTCTTCCTGGTTTAGGTAAGCTGTTTTTGAACACCTCGGGTACCTAAAGTGAACAAGCAAATCAGACTTTACTTAAATGACCAATAAAATAAGCGTRACACGAAATTCTATGGATATTAGCCTTTTCCAAATAAATACAATTTCAGTTAGATCTTTACTGAATACTACACAGTTAGTAACTGATCGCAAGKTACCAAAACTACAATCCTTATATGTTTTTGAAAATTACTTTTCGCTGGTAGGTCTGTTTGCTGCGTTTTGTTCCACGTTTGGGTTTCTGGCCGTCCATTGCGYCCACATCCATATTTTCATCACTGTCTTCATCTGAAGACAGGTCTTCTACAGGAAGAAGGTAGTCATCTAATTCGCCGCTTTCGTGGAGTTGTTTACAGGCCTTGTATGCAACCGCCATTTTGGCCTGTTGTTTGCTGGGCATGACATCTCCCTATAATAAGGAGCACTATATTAGACCTACAAGTAAACGTAATTAGTCATGAACGTTAGAAAATCTACATTGGAAGGGGATAACTTGAAAACTTTCTATAGAAAAAAGCTCTGTACTATGATAAACTGAATGCAGCGAAATGRAAATAATTATCCATCGACAGTTTTTTGATTCMTAATAAATATGATTTCWGTTCAACGCTCTCGTTTTGTATAAGCTTCACTAAAAAMACACCCTCACCATRTTAGATCTACYATGGACTGCATTTRATAGMCCTGACGAATGTGGCAAAAGTGCACCGGACAACGATGTTTCTTTTAACMGAAAAAATGTTGACTGCARATCTTGAATGAGACGAACAGCTACGGATTCTCGGAGAATTTGCAACATTCTGCGGCCGCTATTTTGATAAATTTTCATGGATAACATTCCAAAAAAGAGAAGTACACAATTTAAACGAATCTAATTCTGATTGGTTATATGTATTGTGACGTAAGATGGAGCTATGTGACGTCATAATTTGATTGCGTGTTATGACGTCAAATGGATATGTGACGTATATAGCTATGCATGGTAGTCAATTACCTTGAGTTTTTCTTTTATGGGGCAGTTGATTGGCAGTTTAACCGTGGCCTGAAAAGCCTCATTTCCAACGCCTTCAATGTTAAAGTCAGCATACAAAGGAGTGAAACTGTCCCTTGGAAGCTTGGAACAATACCTGTTGTAACGAAACTACTGATACTTAATCAACGAGTGAGATCCGAGCGCGCATTCTTAGTGCAACAGACGATTTCCGAGATACGCGGGCACTTATTTCAAAACCACTGGAGGTCGCGTATTAAAACAAAACATTTTCTGGCAATGTATTACACTTTTTCCAGAAAGTAYTCATAAATTAATACTTTCAACAACGATCGCACATCTTGGAAATCTTTCATTTTCTCACACAAATCTTTCATTTTCTCACAGTAGAATTAGAATGGCTGACCTGTTCAGCATGGAGATGCTGTTACTCATTCTAAGTGTCGCGTCTTTACTAGTTTTATAAGGAGGTAGCAGGTCTGTATTTACGGCATCACAACTGTCTTCATCATCTGGTGATGGACGATCGTGGCATTGACTCGTAAGATATTCTTCAATTGCGCGATACATCTTAAAAAAATAAATTCTTTGAGTATTCCAACAAGAGCAAAAAGTGCTTTCTTCTGATACAAATTAGTTTAGTTAATCATGGATCTGATATGTCAATTCCATACAGGGTTGCTAGTCAGTATGTATTCAGTCAAGTTATAATCACCTCTAACTCTGCCTGGTCTTCAGATCTGGACGCAAGAATGATGTATTTTGATGGTTTTGCTCTGGCTCTACCTTTTGACTGGACATACGACTGAAAGGTTTTCGGGAAGTCGAATCTGACCACAAGATTACACTTTGGAACGTCCAGACCTTCCTCCACTACACTAGTAGCAATGAGAAGGTTGAATTCATGCCTTCGAAATTTTCTCAAAATGTCCTCTTGTTTTTTCCAGCTCATATCATGGCTGGTGGCTGCGCTACCAACAGAGCCGTGTCCAACAACAAAGTTACATTTCATGAAGCTGAGCTGTTCGTCTTTGTTTGCGAGACGATTGAGCAAATCACTCAGTAAGGCAGCAGTAGATCTCTTTTCAACAAAAACAATCCCACATAGATCACTTTGCCGAGGATCTAAGAAAGCAAGTTATTCGTAATCAAAAACTAGCTATCGTTATCTTTAAGAAGATGTTTAGAAAAACATAATATAAGAAAAGATAACGAAAGAAAACACGCGGTTTTTTCGTTATCTTTGGTGCGTTAATTGACGAGTGAAGACCATTGTATTACACGGCTCGAGATGCTTAACATTATTGACTACATCTAAAGCAGACTTCTAAAGTTAATTCAAATACTCGAATCTTTAAAATTACTCTAGATGGTAAAGAGGTGTGGCTTCTATATTCATGCATACCTTGCCTTGGACCATACTTTTTCAAGATTCCAATAAGGCTCAAGACTTTTGGAGATATATTTTCAGTGTCGATGTCCAAAGTCTCCACAGTATTTTCTTTGTAAATCCTCTGAAGCTGTCGTAGTTGAGTAGCTGAATATTGTATTAACAACTGATCCTCAGTTTGAATGTCAGGACGACGCTCTCTCTTCTCTGAAAATTAGATAAAAAAAACTTATCCCATTGCTTAGCATGGAAGAAAGAAATGTTCAGTAAAAATAACCGGAAGCAAGAATGAATAAGTGAGAAAGAAATGGAAGAGTTTGGACAGGAAAGGAAACTGGAAAGGAAATCAACGTTGAAATTATATGKGAGAAATAGAGAATAGAAATGTTGTTTCGCAATCATATCATCAGTAATAAGGGTCAACATGAAATTCCAAGTTGCCATTCCAACCTACCAACATCTTCCAGAAAGTATTCTGCCAAGCGGTTACATGCAGACCATCCCAGTGCATGTGTTGTGTCGATGCATTCCGTGACGATAGCTTTTGCAAGTTTATGAACTTCACTACTGCTTCTGTAGTCAAAAAGAAACTCCTCCCAAGGCCCTAGAACTTCCTGAAACACTTCATCTTCTAACTTATCGTCTCCCTCTTTTTCGTAGAAACAAACCTTTTCTTCAGGTTTTGTCGCAAACTTWCTGACTTCTTCATCACTTGATGTCTCACATGCAGCTCTCAAAATGGCCTCTAAATTTTGAATTTCGCTTTCAATTTTGTATGGCTTAACTTTTCCGTTGACAACAGAAGCAGTCAGCCCGAGTATTCTTGGTGAATCATCAAGTCCTTGAAAATACTTCATTACCTATAAACGTAAGACGTAAGCACCCTTTGAGTTTTATTCTAATGAATCGACAAATCCAAGTCCTGTAGGGTACGGGATGAGAGGGTGGGATGGGAGGGGTGGCGATAATCAGCAGCGGCCTCTGAATGGTTTTTGAGGTGATTGCGCCRCCGAAGACACGGAAATTTGTGATCAGAGGTTTTCGCAATGGAGAAATTTTGCTAACAAGGTCATTCATGATATCTCCTTTGCTTAATTATGCAACTTCTTCACCAAGTTTTTATATTTCTAATTATTTCCAATGTTTTCGATACCGCGCGCAACAAGCTGCATTCCTAACATATTGATAACTGACGTAGCCAGGCGTTCCTAGCCGCTCCGAGAGAGTTTGGGCCTGAGAAACCCAGAAGGTGCGGCTGGGAGCGCCTGACAGGCTATGGGCACCGCTGATGAACACACCTGTGCGTATGGATGCTCCTTCTTAGCATGATGACATTCATCAAACACGATTAAGTTGACTTTTGACAAGGAAATTCGTGCATGTCCAAGAAGATCCACGAAAATCTGTGCAGTCATGACCAGGACCTCGTGATTTTCCAGTTGCTTCTTCCATTCCACATCATGCCAGAAATCTACTCCCATCTCGCCTACATATTCCCCTATTTGTAGGTTGGTATTGTCTTTTATGACTTTTGCTTGTTGAAATACCAAGGGAACTGATTATGAGAAAGTAAAAAGTGTAAATTTTAGTATAATTAGTRCAGTTAGTTGATGCTCAGATGTGTCAAAAACTATTCTAAGTGTGGTCCCTTTTTGTGAGCTATCCCTGAGACACCCATGTCAGGAAGGAAATCCCCAAAAAACGATCTGTTCCTGCTACAGTTAAATCCACCAAAAACTTAAACATCACAATTGGCAGTTGGAAAGTACATTTTTAACTGCTTTTCAAAGCGATCAGAAAGCAAAGAAAAATGAATAGAATCATAATCATTGAATTTATTTGGACATTTCGAATGTATTTAGGTGGTACAAACCACCAGTATAGTCTTCTGTCTGTCTGTCTGTCTGCATTCGACTCACTACCTTACGAGTCAACTTCCGCTTCGTCAGTTGTCAAAACGAAAGTAAGTTTTAATAAAAGTAGTTGCGGCCTGAACAAAAAGATGAAAGCTGTAGTAAAATAAGTTAGCATTATGATAACCTACCTGTATTCACGAGAAAGAAAGTTCTTTTTCCACCATTTTTAAATTCTCTTCTGATCTGATGAGCTAATTCTTTGATCAACAAGACGCTAATAAAGGTCTTTCCTGTTCCAGTTCCTAAACAAACGATGATATTGCGCTCCATGGCTTTGTTCAGCAATTCTGTTTGGTATGGACGAGCTTGTAGCCTTGAGGAGGTTTCTATTGCCTCTTCTTCTTCTGTATCGGACATTTTTTTGGCTAAATTGTTCGTGCGTATGTGACACAAAGAACGAATGATAATATTTCACGACACCGCAACGCATTGAAGTGATCTGACAAGAAAAACTTCTCTCGGAATTCGATTTCAGGGAAGTCACGTGATATTTACAATCGATTTCTACGAAAAAGGGCGAACATTTAGTAAATAATGTAAATTCTTATATTTCATTTTTACGAGAATTTTTAATGTAAACAGCTGATCGATTCCAAAACAAAAGATGGTATGGACCGTGAGGTAAACTGGGTCAAGGCCTAGGTTCAGTCCTCCTCGTCGGAAGCACTTTTAGATTCTGGCGAGAAAGGAACAATGTAAATATTATGATCACTTAGCGATGTCTCGATGCTTTTGCTGTCTCTTCTTTGATTTGGGAAATTCTGAGGTAAAATCTAGTCATTTTATTGCAAGAAATATCTCATGCGAGTCTCGAAAAAAATCGATTAAGTTTATAAATTGTGGCTGATGTGTCTTTAGGACAAGTCATTGTTATTACAAGAGCAGACAAGCAGAAAGATTTCAAACTTATTCGCTAAACAAGGTGAAAGACAATTCATTGAAGAAAAACATGTCAACAAATCGAAGAAAATCCGTCCAACTTCTCCGGAAATAAGCGTCATTTGGGCGAACAATCCAGGTAAGATCTTGATCATGTGACCACAAGGTATAGTTTATTGCTTATTTCTAACATATCAGAACTTTTCAAAATCGAGGGTGGCTTACTTTTATATTATTTTTAGTAATTTACGTTTTTAAAAAACAGAATTCTTCAATACCCTGCARTAGTTTCCAGCTGGCATGTCTAGACTTGAAAATATCGGATTAATTTTTTCAAGTTTTACTAATTGTCCTGTCTCAGGTTGAAATAAAATCTGCATTGTTTATTATCATTTGTAAATATTTTGTAGAAACAAACATTTTTTTTACAGAGACAAATGCTGTTTTTGACAAGCTTGGTTTACCAGGAATTGTAGTCAGATATGATAAGATATTAAGTGAATGGAAATGTCTGAAAGATGCTGAGACGGAGTTTAAACAGCTAATGGGAATTGATCAAGATAGGAATATTATAGAGTGTGTAGATTCTATTCCACCTGGTAGGTGTACCAATTCAAATATAACCTTTAAATGCATACTCGTCTGCAATGCAAGTATTTCTTTTGACTGAGTTATCAGAATTCATCCTTGATAACCCAGGTGTAATCCTTTATCAGTTCTAGTAGCGAGGGACTATCAATATTACCTCTTGGTTTCTGAGGGCGACCCATTGTTTGGCACTCTCTTTAGGTCCAGAATATTAAAAAAGAATAGAAATAGAAAATAGAAAACCAAGTGTAAATTGCAAGAAAATATATGACAGTTTAGAAAATACCATAAGATTTATAACATTGTGAAAATGTATATCTTTCTTTCATAGGGATTCATTTTTATATGATACTTTTTCTTTTATCTAGTTTGTAGAAGTTGCTTTTTATAGTGAATGTTATTTAAAAAAAGGAGAAATCTAATTCTTTTGAACATATGTTCTATGGGTTTTGATATAATAATACCTTCAGTTGTTATTATCRATTCCCAATGAGCTAAACTGCTTGTATAGTTGTTAAGGACAAGGCATATTTATTCAAAATAATCAATTTTCATAGAGTATTTCATATTTTCAGAAATGAGGATTGGTTTTAGCCATGGTTCTCACGATTCAGAGTATGAATTCTACCTGGATATCGACCCACTGGTATCACTGGACAAACTAAATGCTCCATTGACAAATCAATTAAGGAGGGCTCTTCATGTTTTTGCTATCATTTCAAGACAAATGGGTGTTATCCAATTCACTGGAACTCCAATCGTTAAGGACCTAGAACGACTAGTCAAGCTATTCAAACAGGACGACGAACCCTTTGTAACTATCAATGGTATAAGGCACAGCGTTGAATTGCTGAACAGCCAACAAGTAGAGCAAGCATATTTGATAATAAAGGATATAGTATCTTTGAGTAGAGCACGTAGCCATGCTTTAATGGATTATATCCTTCAACAAGGAGACCAGGTTGACCTACAAGTAATCAAAGATGATCCTAAAAACCATAAAGTAATAATMTTTTCCAAAAAATTAACAGGAAGCAGTAAAAAGAAAAAAAGTGGTCCTTCTAATCCAAGATGAAAGTTTGAATAATAATATTATTATTGTTATAGTGTGGGGATTTGGGGGGTTTTATAATATAGTTTATTGACATGGTGTGTTAGTTGATTATTTGAGGGTAATAACAAAATAATGTTAAGGTGAATGCTTTCTTCTACATGGAGAGGCTAGGAGATGACCTCTTTTTGTACTTCAATATGATGTGTTAGTTGCTGAAGAGAGGTAGTTCTATGTATTGCAGGTCAATTGCCCTATATTTCATTATGACRTCACAGTATGTTTACATCGAAAAACAACGCTCAAAAACAGTGGAAATTTTGATGCATTTGTATTTCCTCCTAAAGTAGATCTTCAACGAATCTTGTTTTGATATATATCATGTATAAATGATTGTTCATGTACATTTTATTTGAAATGCAGTCACTTTGATCCCTTTGGCGACCATAATCCTTATCGTTACAACAACAGAATGTTTTGATGTGACGTCATAATGATCTAGGGCAATTATATTGTAATTTCTTCGTTTTCATATTTTGACAAAAACAATAGTATGTTTTTATGAAAAGCCAAGAATATTTACATTGTTGACTATTTTTATATGCCATTTTATTATGCTATCGCCTGCCACATAAAATTTATATTCTAGCTTACATAAAACAATTATAACAAGAAATTAAATGAACATTTTTTATGAATCAATGAGCAAAATAAGTTATTATAATATATAAAAATAAATAGGATTGAATTAATGTTATTAGAAAACAAATTTTATGAGTTTTGTGAAAAGCATAGTTTCTATAGGTTTACTTAGTAAATTTTTATGATTATACAATTGCCTTTCCAGCACCTTTCTGGAATGGATTTTGCATCAAAGTGAGACAACTACATTTTCACTTCCATGGTAGACATCTTTTGTAGTCACTTCAATCCCGCAGGGAGCAGAAAACTTAAAAATGTTTGCAATGAAGGGTAATAAAGTCTGTGCTTTAAAAGTAAAAGTAAAATACTAAAACATTTTTATCAGAATTTTTTATATTCTTAGCTTTGAAATAAAAACTATTTAACACATGGTATTTAATCTCTTTACTGCAGCAGCAATAGCAGAGTCCAGAGTTTATTTTAGCTTAAAAAATTGATAAGATTTAGTATTTCTAGAACCTTCTAAAAATACAGGACAAGATATCAAGATATCTTTCAAAACATACCTTCAATGGAAAATACCCAAACTTAGCTTATAACTTGAAAGTGCATGTTCCACCAGATTGCAAAATAATTCATAAATGGGATACCTGTGTTTGTGKACGAGATGACSCGGGTCCTAGTTATTGCGCCATATTGGAACGTGAAWCATGGCGGACKGCGGCGAGGGAACGAGTAGTTCTACGGAAGAGYCCTTTCARACCGTCAAGAGACGAAGTAAGCGAAAAATAGACAAAGTAGAGAACATGGAAAAGGATGATGTTCAGAGCAGACCAAGTTTTCCTCCGGTTAAAGTGGCGAAAACAGCGGTAAATATTGAATRTGTGAGACCTTGTTTTGGTCAACCACGTGTTTTTTACATGAGGTTTATAAGTTACTTGTAAAATCGTAAATCACAAGCCTGATTTATACRCATAAAGTACTTTATTTGTTGTCCGCTTTTAAGGCTGGTAAGTCAGAACTAAGAAAAATATCAGTTCCGTCCCATCGCTACACCCCACTCAAGGAAARCTGGATGAAAATCTTTACCCCTGTGGTTGAACATCTCAAAYTGCAAATAAGATTCAATCTTGCATCAAGAAATGTCGAAATTAAGGTTTGAAGATAAAACATGATWCTTTGCTCCCAGTTTTGTACTCATTGTGTTGTATTGATTAGATAATGTTTAATCTTTYAAGGCTTCTAAAGAGACTCAAGACATWGGTGCCATACAGAAAGCTGCAGACTTTGTCCAGGCATTCATTTTAGGCTTTGATGTTGATGTAGGTTACTTTCTATAATCCACTAGTACCTGTTTCATTTTTGAAGCTCACATAAGCCAGATTAAAAGCAAATCTGCTCATTATCAGTTTAATTGCATTGAATTTAGAGTATGTAAGACATGGAACATGMTTTAGAGAACAACACAAATTGCAGTTTGTATTATTGCAAGTGTTGTTTGTTGCGCTGGGTTTAATGATGAGGTTGTAGCCATGCTAATTGTGAGTGTTTAGTTGTAAGCCTTGTCTTCAGTCAGATCTTGTTTATCTGGTGGGCAATGTCTTATARTTGAAACACTGTGACAGCAAAATGCTCACTGAAAATCCTGATTTTAATGTAATATGCTTAAAYATTGTTTTGTTAAAATACTGATATATTTTTACATCAATTTTAAGGATGCGCTTGCTCTCRTCCGACTGGATGACCTGTTCTTGGAATCTTTTGAAATTGCTGATGGTACGTTACTACATAAATAGGCAATTGAACTTAAAACAGATGAATCAGGGATAGCTAAGGAATATTAGGGTTTAACACCATTATTCTTGCAAGTGTTTTTGTTATCATGGAATTGTTAAAGTAGATATTTTCTTGTCTGCAAAGAGAGTGGACTGTACAAGATTATTATGTCCTGCCATTATCTTATGAAGATATTTCCTTCTGTTTTTTTTTTTTTTTGTTATTTTTTTACCATAGTTAAACCATTAAAAGGAGATCATTTATCCAGAGCAATTGGTAGAATAGCAGGGAAGAGTGGGAAAACCAAATTTACAATTGAAAATGTTACAAAGACCAGAATAGTCTTAGCTGAAACGTGAGTCCATTTGTTGTGTCTTGTCATTTTGTATTTTAGTATTTATGCTAATATTGTTTCATTCTCAGCAAAATTCATATTTTGGGATCTTTCCAAAACATCAAAATAGCAAGATCAGCAATTTGTAATTTAATTCTTGGTGAGTTATTACTGCATTTCTTATAATAGTCACTCAAAAATGTCAACACAGTAGATATGGTGTGCTTTATCACATGTCATCAGATTTATTTTAGGAGATTAAATAATAACATCAAAAGAAGAAAAAACATTAATATTGATATTAGTTGATGTATTGTGTTTTTGCACATAGCTAAGGTAGAATTATTTACATCAACAGGGAGCCCACCKTCAAAAGTGTATGGCAATATGAGAGCTGTTGCAAGTAGWTCAGCAGAGCGATTCTAAAATACATGTCATATTATTTTAATACATACATGTATCTATATTAGACTGTAAATAGAATGATACAATTATATTAATATTTACARAAAAACAACATAAACCTCCTGCTGCTGATTTTTACATTATTGGAATTGCAATGTTATCCAGTATGATAATGTTAAAATGTATATACAAATTGAATTTTAACTAATAGATTATAGTTTAAAATAAGTTATTATTCTTGCAAGTTATCAGTTTGCCTGATTTCTTTAAAAAATACTGGATTAATACTATTATTTGTCAATGGAATTAGGCCAAAATACGTGAACCAACAATCAGCCTTCGTATATAATGTGCACATATTGTGCATTTTACTATATCTGTGAAATGGTTTGCTAATGGTTTGCAGTGTTACTAAATATAGTACAAAATCCCTTGTCTTCTATTAGTGAATCAAAGCAATAAAATGAAAATTTCCTGTAGTGTTAAACAGAAGATTGTGAGTGATCGCACTTCAAACCGTACAACTGTAAAAAATGTAAGAAGTACTAATTTGTACTAAATATGGACCTGAAACAAGATGGTATTGAATGCTTCTTTTGTATAAAGTCAATTTAATTTGCGTATCGCATGCACGATTTACTTAATACAACTAAATAGCACTATTTAGTTTGTACAGTTGCATGGTTTAAGTGCGATCTACCACCCCATATTTTGTCCTAAGTTTATAACCAACATGGCTAATGAATGTGTAAAACTGTTCTTACAATTCACCTGTCTTTAATTACTGTTCTTTTGTTTTGTGAGTTCATAAACCTGTTCTAATGTTGGACGCGCTTCAGTAATGTGTGTAAGACAGCTTGATATAAACTTTCTAAGATTCTCAGAGTATCCCAAGGTAAGATGAAGCTTACTAGGTGGATGTCCTTCTACTATTTTCAGTAATGTGTCATAAAGTGACACACCATATGAAGTGTGATAAGCAGTTTCTCTGTACATCAATTCATAAGCGATGCAGCCTATGAACCATGTATATTGCCGATCGTCGCACGAATATCCATGAATTGTTTCTGGGGATGCATACACRCCAAGGTTCATTTCATGTTTAATATCATAAACCATGTCACTGTTCCTTAATATACTGCCTATCAGGACATCCCAATTCCTTGTTATTGTTACAATCTTGTTAGTGAATATTTGCAGTTTGATATTGTTCTTGTTYAAGTACTTCAAGGCACTGGAAAGTTGGTTTAGTATCTTCCAGATAACCGTCTCTGGGATACTTTCRCCGATTTGTTTTAAATGAGTTACAATGTCACTTAGAGAGTAAGTTCCGGGTTGGTAGAGMACACCTATTACATCGTTTTCCTCGAAACTAGCAATAACTCTACAAAYATTATGATGCCGAAGTGTCCTCAATTTCTTGATATCTCGAATTACTTCGTCTCTTTGGTGTTTAAGTCCAAAACTCATCGATATCACTGTCACACTTTCACCATATATCATGTAATTTCCAGAACTACCCCATTTCAAGGTTCTAATGTCAGAGATTTCTCGATTGCAAGTTTGAGAAAGAGAATCGATAATCGCTGTTGGCAGAGGAAGTCCCTTAAAACATGAAACAACATTGAGCAGTCCTACTCGCTTGATGAGGGATAAAACGATGGTTCTACGGCATAAATGCTGCAGACTATGAGGACTTTCCAAGTAATCATATAAAGATTGATTATTGAATGCAGCCATTTGTGCTTCATCACAAGTATGACGAAAATAGACTTCCAATGAGMTGTGTCACGCAAGTCCGTGACATAGGGTTTACTCGGGCTACGCTTTCACTGATCGGAAAGAACATCGTCTTGTGTTAGTTTTTCTTGTCTCATAACTAARAATACTCATAACTTTTGCGGTAATCGATTCGCTTGATTTGTATTCATTGAACTCTTGTGTGTTTTTTTACATTGACTTAAGATTGAAGTTGACGTCGCTCCTAAGGCGCTTTTAAAAGCTTTACGTACTGCGGTTTGTAGGCTCAATCATAGTTGGTAGAGGGGATTTTCCCCTCTACTAACTATGGCTCAATGTGGAGTCTCTTGAACTACATTATTCTTTATTCCAAGAATTTTATAAAACTGAACACGAAAGTCTCGGCTCAGTATAGCAAGAATGATAGGGTTAAATGTGGTTCCTAAAAATAGTAGCGTCATTCCAAACAGTTCCACTTGCCTGGAAACATATCTTGCTTGGTAAGACTCAACAATTAGCATAATTGACAATGGTATCCAGGATACCATGAAAAAAAGAGTGGAAAAGAAAAGCACTTTGGTCGTTTTTAACTGACCTAAATAYACAACGTTGTCATGATGWTGATAAGTCGTAGATAGCTTGGTGTAATTTTGGATGATATCTTGTYGGTTGTCTGTTGTCACTGGCTGATCGTTTTGTTGGCTTAATTTCCTGGAATCTTGAGATAAGTCGCAACGAATGGCACCTTGTCGGTTGTCTGGTGTTGTGAGTTGACCGTTCTGTTCTGGACTTAATTTCCTAGAATCTTGAGATAAGTCGGAACGAATGGCACCTTGTCGGTTGTCTGGTGTTGTGGGTTCATCGTTCTGTTCTGGACTTAGTTCCCTGGAATCTTGAGATAAATCAGACCGAATGGCATGTTGCCGGTTGTCTAATGTCGCGAATTGGTCACTCTGTTGTCGGGTTATAATTTGTTTCCGAGGATCCTGAGATAAGTCGGAGTAGAGAGGATCGTGATCTAAATATCGCAAAGGATTAGCACTGCAACTTTCAATAGAATCATCACTGATTCTTTCATGGCCTTGTGGTACATCTGCATATTGGCTATTCTCTTCCTTTTTATTGACCTCAGTTGGCTCCACTGATGGAGAACTACAGTTTTTCCTTCTTTTAATCTTAATATACACTACAATGTAGCACATCGTAATGATAAAAATGCCTCCAATCATAACGGCTTCTTTCTGGGTGCGATAAAACTGTTTGGCTAACGGGTGTGTCACAAGGAGCGARCATGTTGTATACCCTGGGGATAGGAAAGGCTCGCTCCAATCCGCTAACGCTGGTAAAATAGCATATAACAACTGAAACACCCAACTAGAGATAACAGTCATCATTGTTGCTTTGAAATTAAACAAGACATTATACCAAGAAGGCTTGACCATTAATAGCACACGATTGACAGCGATCAGACACATAGTATGGAATGTCAAATTCTCAAGCAAATACGATAGAGAACCAAACATCTGACAAGCTACAGGACCCATAAACATCTTACCCGTTGCCAGGACACCAGTGGATATCGGGACAACAACTAAGGCTGTAAACAGGTCACAAGACGCGAGTGAAATCACCAACAAATTCACTGCTGTTCGAAGACGGGAACATCTRTAGAAGGCGATAAGAACAACCATATTTCCAAACACTGCAATCAACGAGATACTTGCTAGAACAAGACTTTCGACTATAATTAGATATAGTTTTCTTGAAGATAAGTCATTCTGAACTTCACTAAACGATGCTTCAAGACGACTTCGATTAGTCGATGACATCTTGTCTCTTTCTTGCGTGCGGTCTATAGTGGTATACTCGATGTGAAATGTCTCAATTCAAGCCACGAAAGTGGGACATGTACACGATTTTGCAGCCAATAAGAAAGTTTGAATTGTTGAAGGGGGAAGGAAGTAAAACTGACTATTGTTTCACTAGCTTTTCTTTTTCAATGAGCTGAGCTCGATCATTGATTAGACTTTACGTAAGATGGAATACACTTAACACAAAACACAGGTCTTTTCTTTATTGCTCATTTTCCTAAGTCTTCATAGATTGATTCATAAATATTTCTATACAAACGTTCACCTGCCCTGTACCTTTGTTCCTTTAAAAGGTTTAGATTAAAATTTGACTAAAGCGGATGATGTACTTTCTGAACGATTCCATAAAMCGTTGTTTCTAARTGTTTGGAAAACACAGTTCCACCACAACAACAATTTTCGAGCTTTAGTTTTCTGGCGGTTAATAAAATGGTTTTAGTCTTCATTTTTTACGGGTCATTTTGTTTGTTTGTTTCATGACAATCACGACGTCTGAATATGATTCTAATCTACAGATTTGTTGATAAATCTGGAAATTCTTCGAACAAGATTCTTTGATTTATTATTTTATATACCATCTTTATTGGTCCTTCTGTTTATAGGGTAGTCTTTGCTGGGTTGCTTYATAAACATGCTTCACTTCCAAGTCGTGCGAGCTGTTGACAAGGAAACAGCAATAAGAATATACATTCGGATTTCACCTTCGTTAAACGCTGTAACGTTATTCTATAAATCWTAGTTTGTAAAAAGCAGAGATATTATTGGGGCTATTTTCAATTATTTTCGATATATGTCTAAGATTTACTGAATCAATTGTAAATTAAACCTACTTCCGTCAATAATGACCGCTAGGAATTGTTGGTATTTTTCGTGAAACAGAGTAAAGTCACGGATACACTGAAATCTTACTWATTTCTCATCTTACAAACAAAATTGCAACAATGAACTRCCAATTTCAAGGGTTGTTTTTTAAAAGTACAAAMTTTGGGGCTAATGAAGCCATTTTCATAGTTTTACATGTAAAAATGCCCCTGGCTAATCGTTTTTGAAATTAGACAGGCAATRAGTTCTGATTGTTACTTTGTTGTGTGATYTATTTTCGACATACTGGTTATTAATTTTAGCGTCAATTGATAATCAGATTGTCCATTGGAAGTATATTACGTCTGCCAGCGAGTTTAGATTAGGAGATCTGACAGGAGATAGAAATTGTCTTTTCCGCTGATAACTGCGATCGTATCAGACTATTKCAGCTAKAACAGCTGAGGTACAAAAATAAAACTAAATTCTCAGACGCAAGCTAATTGTGAATATTAACCATAGTGTCTTCATATCGTACCTGTTTTAGGAATTGTGCTGCGTTTAAAACTTCACTTGCTCCATATAGAATCTTCTTCGTCCCTGAATTTCTCTACATTGACACAAGAAAAAATATCAATCTATCACTTTATCATTCGTTTTTATCTAGTTTTTCGCTATTTTGTAGAGTAAGAAAGCCTGTTAGTGAACCCCTTCTTGTGCTGTCCCATGTTAAACCCCCAGGGAGTAGAATAAGATATCTTGATGGGATTTAAACMTACTATTCTGGTATACTGGTGCAAAATGTTTTGAAGATGTATGGATATGAATAAAGGTCCGGTTAAGACAAAAAATGCCCCAAAGCCAGTCTGGTTTCGCCGGTCTATTCCCACGGGTGGRTGGCGGTGGGGAACAGGATTTTCAAAACCCCTAAATATCACATTGATAAATGTCCTGTTTCGTTTTACAAATATTAGACCCCAGACCTTCCACTAAAATAACGCTGCGTTTACCCTTAATAGAACTCACTCTGTTTATTTTTTGCAAAGATTAGCCACGAGGATAATGTATGCCTAAACTATTACTAATTTTCAATTTCTTCGCCTGTGAGTTATTAGCCTGGTTATTAGATGGACACCTGGTCACTCAAATCAGGTTAAATACCGGTTTAAACGAAACGAAGGCTAAAATTTGTTTGTTCATCCATTCATTTGTTTGTTAGTAATCATSAAATTGTATATTTACCTTAGAGTAATCCATTAAATTTTGATATTCAATAAAGTTTCCACCACCAACTACAAAGACTATAGCCTGTATGAACAAAATAAGCTTATTAACACCTCTCTCTGCACAAAATCATTTCTATTGAMAAACATTTTTCACAGGATGTTGCAACTTCAGATTTCAAATTCAAAAACCTAATTTGCATACATTTTTATTCATAATTCTGTTCATTTTATTTATCGTTTCTAGGTATTTTGATATTGACTGATCACTGTATGGATTATCTGATTGACAAATTGATTGGTTGGCTGGTAAATTGATTGGTTGGCTGGTAAATTGATTGGTTGGCTGGTAAATTGATTGACTGATTGATATTGTGGTCATTCTTAACATTAATAGACAGTTAATTCCGCTGACCTCTTGAAAAGGTGTTTTGTTCCTTGGAATTGATTGGCTGAAAATAACAAAACATGTCACAATACAAGGAAATTGTTAGGCAAAAGATAACATAAATGGTTACCAGGGCAAAAATTACCTGTCTGTGACACGTAACATTTTGGGATCAAAGTAGCGAAATTCATCAACATCCTGGTAGAATATAAAAAGAATAAATATCATATGCTATATGCAATCATATCATATTCTTGTCTGATTTTATGCTACTTACTGGACTTGACTTGTTCTCCATTACTGCATCTACCACTCGTGTGATTGGTAAATTCTAAGAAAAAAAATTGATAAATTTTTCACTTCAATAGATTKTAGATTGTTTGACTATGTAGACTTCTTAATTGTGTCATTTCAGTCCCTCTTTGCTACCACCTTGCAATCTGTAGTCCAATCAGKGAAGAACAAGTGCCTTTTTTACATCCTTCCAGCATCCAACAACAAATACTAGTATTTATAATGCACAGGTAAGATAGCTTACCTTGTTGCCAACAACTAGATTTTTGACACCCTCCATGACAAACTGGGAACCTGAACTCATGATACGTGARAACATGGCACTAGAAAGATGTGAAAGTTGATCAAGAAAATTATTTGAACACAATGACTACATAAAGGAATAMAGACAAATGATATACAGTAGTTATTTGTTATACCTGTAAGTATTTTGGCCTCCACCACCAGACTGTAATGGTGCTGTAGTGATCTTGGTGAAAGCTCTGTTAACAAAAACAGCAGTTCTTTAGTTTTCAATATTGGTATTTGTTATTGTGGAGTTAAATGTTTCACAGTAAAAGAAAGCATGAAATATACAGGCAAGACCTACTTCCATCTCTTGATGTAACTTAGAGCAGCAGACTCCACACCACTTGCAACAAGTGCTGATGCATACTGGTCAAACTCTGCCTAAACATTTCAGATAAAGCCATCAATACCAATGTAAATGAAAGGTCTCTAAAGTACTACTTACAGCAGACATAGTTGGTCCAGACACRTAATAAATAATGAACAGTCTAAGCTTGTCCTCTGCAGTTCCAGCTGAAAATAAGGAAACATACTTACAAAACGTTTTGACTGACTTCCAAAACTCATCTAAATTTTCAGGATTCTACAACACTTTAGCCATCACATAAGTTGTTAATATGGAAACTGTAATCTTTTAGAGCAATGTTTCTTCTATTTTGTTGTAGAAACCCTGAAAATAATAGATTGTGATCTCCAAACGATCATATCCAAAACAAAAAACAATAGATTTTGATGATGTTTTATTTTACATCATGCTTGGCAATGTACATTGCATACCATCTGGATCTTGAATGATTTCTAATATTGACTTATCCTACAAAGAGACAAAAATTATTTTTAGCAAAATTTCAACAATATAACAAGGTGGATGTATGCTTACTAGAGTGGTTTTACTCATGATTTTCTCTTCCGTTTCAAAGTAAATATCCAACTTTCTTTCCTAAAAAAAAATCCCAGATTAAAATGAACAACAGCATGATAATGTTAAATAACAATAAGCAACAGCAATCAGAGATATTGATGATGTTGACAATGTTGAGGACAATGATGACAAGAAGCAATGGTTGTTTTAACAAAAAACATGGTGAGATGGTTCATTAGGTTCACTAGGTTTTCTTCTTCAGCCAAAAACTAGCATTAAGACATGTAGGAACAGTATAGCGTTGGTGCATAATGATGAAATAGCACTCTATCCTGCTGCAAAGTGAGAGGAAATGCTCTGTCAGCTTCTGTGATTTACATTGAGATTTACCAAGCGAGTGGTTCTTTTGGCAGAGTAGAGAAACAGGCCCAACAACGATATTATTCACTGTAACCATGACAGTACTACTCACCTTAATATGAGAAAGAAGTGCTGTGGCAATGTTTGTGTGCATGTCAATGAGCTTTTTCTTCTCAAGCAGTTCTGGTAAGGAGCTAAGAGTGAATCAATACAAAAATAAATGAGATAACAATTTAATAACTTTGAGATCTACGTTTTTTTTATTGCTTACCTTACTGCAGTAGTGAGTCTAGCTGTACTGTCACTGAGTAAGTCTGTCATTGCTTCTTCATTATTTGCATCCATACCCTATATTAGGATAAGCTTCATTAGTGAAAGAGGCAGACCAAAGTCTGATATAATCACATAAGTATCACAAACAATGTAATAATAATGGTGATGTTAATAAATTTCAAAACCATTCCTAGAATTACCATAATCATAATGACAGGAATGATGTTGATGACATGGTCAACCATCTTCATAATAATGATAACAACATTGTTGATGATAACAGATTAAAACAATTATCAAGCATACCATGACATGTTTTAATCTTTTAACTTCTTCTTCTGATGCTCTATATTCATCTAACTCTGTTTGAATAGATTCAGCAACTGTAGGAAAAGGACTGAAAAAAACAAATTTGGATAAGTAGACTTATTCACACACATACAACAGATCTTATTCATTATACCTGCCCTTGTGYGTATTCCAGAACCTGTCCGTTGAATGGAGATCATAATTCTTGACTCTGGTTTGGTTTGGGTGACGATGATGWGGATCAGGAYTTTCCTCATTAGTTTGGGGAGCAGATTCCTTTACAGTGACTCTGTTCAAATGCAGTTCCTATAAACAAAGTACACTAGTGCATCAGAATAATTGTGTATTAATTTATTACTTTTATAGCTCACTTTAAAATATTTAATTGCCCTATGCATAGTSACACGTGATTACAGTGTTTGATTGGTTATTAATTTGTAGATATCATGTATCAGTTGTAGTTCAAGAGTACACGTGTTAATACTGTTTTATCATAGTCCTAGTTCAATAGTTATCATAATTCTTTCCCATCCCACCCGCCCTTATGGTGGGTCAGAGATTTATTCTTGCAGCTAGGTTTTGGTTTACTTCTCTTGTGTGAATAAATCTCTATTCTGGTGGGTCAGAGATTTATTCTTGTAGCTAGGTTTTGGTTTACTTCTCATGTGTGAATAAATCTCTATTCTGCCAAACAAACTAGTGTGTGTTTCTTCTTGTTTTATTATTGACATTTAGGGGAATTGTAAATAGTATATTCTTAAACCACACTGGAGAGACAAATCTACATAGTAACTCTTTTGGAAGAGCTGAAGAAGAACTGAAATGAATCCTTAACAATAACAATTCATGGATACTTACCAAAACATCATGAGCAAGAGCTTGATATGTCCAGGTATGATGTAGAGGAGTACACAGATCCATATTACGATCAACAATAATTAGTACAGGTCTCTGAAAACTAAATATAATGGGTTAGCTAATCAAATATACAGTTACTCATCAGCCTTACTTGCAACATGAGTTGATGTCAGGGGGGGTGCTAACATGATTAGTTTAAGTCAGAGTTATATGAAGGTGCTTTACATAGCAGGCACCAATCATGCAACCCATGCCTTATCACAAATCACAGCTTAAATGGACTCTCACCGGTCTCAGTGTTTTACAAACCCTGAACTTAACATGACTCTAAAGAAAGATTACCTTATTTGTGATGATGGTATGTCAGTGGTAAATAAACTATTCCTTGAATCTCTTAGGTTTTCCCTTAGCTTTTTGTCAAGGGCCTGTACARAAAGCAATGAATGAAAACAGGTTTCTATGGAAACAATAAAGCCTCAATGGTGACTTACTTCTGCTACCATTTCTGCAGCATTGCCTTTTGGACAGCGTATGATTGGAACAGTACCTGTTAATGGCCAATGTATTAGACATAAAYCAAAGAGTAATTCTACAYTTATATRATTACATACCAAGAGATGCAAGCAARCAAAACAAGCTATCAACCAGGGAATCTCGCAATAATTCAATGTCTGTATCTTTGGCATCTGGTCTATTGATAGCTGAAATGAAAAATAAAATGAATATTGAAAAGATGAAGAAATGATTGGATAGATTAACAACTAAATTGGTTGATGTACTAGTGCTATGTGGGCTAGCCCCAAAGAAAGAGTAATAAATATCAGTGTGTTAAAGCATGTTCAATCTACAGTACCATATACTGGTGTACTTAGGTGTGGCCAATGCCATAATCCATGACAATCCAATCATACTAAGAAATCTACCTTACTAGATAATTAAGTTACAATTGATATACTTGTGTATTATCTAACAATGCCAAAATTACATTGAAACTATACCATAATATGATAGAGAATCCCTATCTTGAAATCTTGTTGTGAACATTTCATCCTCCAGTGAAATAAAATTGAGATATTGATCATAAACCTAGCAAAACGATAATAAAATCTCATCAGAAATCATTCAAACCCTGCAAAATACTCTCACTTTAGATGTGAATTCAAGCATAAAGACTAMTTGTTTTATATTATTYATAACAWAAAACCTTTGATATTTGYGGAACACAGTTTGTTTGGACAGCAGCTGATGCCAGGTCTTCAAGTCGATGTCGTGATATYGCACTGATGAAATTTAAGTAGTATGATTCATATAACTGATTCTTGCAGTCCTAAAAACAAAACAAATATGGATTAAATAAAAACCAAAACAGATTTGCACTCATCATTATATTTGTCCTGAAAGCACTGATACTTAATGAAATGGTTGAAATGTATTCTACATTTGAAGTTTTATAATAATAATGGTCATTAACACAATACTTTTTTATCTTTATTGGATGATTTCCCATCTGGAGGTCCTACTCATTAAAGAGACTTAAGTTACCTGGCATATTCTTTTGACATTGTCTTCTGTTGGCATCACAAAGTACACTGCTGGAACTTCTGGGATTGGGTCTCTATCTGTGTGAAGAAGCCTAAACAACCATAACAAATTTGTACAATAAAAATGATTTATTATTTTGAACAATAAACAATATGTTATTGAAAGAAAGTGGTTTAATATCCAAAAACAATGCTTGCTAAATGTGGAAATGAATTGTATGTGAAAAAGCAAGTAATTCTGACAGTTATTTGCTAGCAACTATTATTGTCTATAAACTGCTGTATGAAGATAAATGTGACTAGCACAGGGTAAACCTTTAGCTTTATTCATTGTTTATATAGCAATACATTGTATCAATTTAGGATGGACTTACAGGTGCAATGTTACCCCCAATTCACGGAGTTCTTTCACAGTCAGCAATGGTGATATAATGTCCTGACCATATCGATCATAGACCAACACCTATAGATACAAGTATGATACATTATACAATACTATATTATAGTAATAACACCAATTCCACCTACATACAAAAAAAACTCACAGTGATCTTCTGTCAATATTAAGACTCATGCAATCTGTCTAYCAAAATTTAGCTTGAAGCTTTGCTAACACATTACAGATAATACAGAGAACGCAGATAAATTGAATGTCTCACAGTAATTTGAACACTGTCATCATTGATTTCCTCAATAATCTGAATGTCTGAGMACACAGTTACAMGTATCAGCAGAAACCTATGCTTCAGAGGTTTTTCCAATTCATTCATATTCAATTTGGTTGACACAAAATTAGGAGACATTGAGATTGCATATACAAAAAMCAAGAATCCTGAGACCCAAGACTTCTTTGYGTGTACTTCTCACAGCTCTTACTGATGGTGATGGTATGTAAGTATCCTACCTTCCAGGATGGCTCTACAGCAACTGACTTGCTGAGGGGCTGATTTAAATTGAGCATCCGCTTTAGTGCTTCTGTTATAACGTGAAAAAGGGGAAAAATTAAGGGATCTGTAATTTTCCTATATTTCTTCTGTATTCAGATGTTACTTGAATTTCAATCGTTTTCTATTTACGTAAATATTGCTCTAGTCATCTAAATATTGGATATAATACAATTACTCGATTTAAAATTCATCCTTTATTTAATAAGTTACTCGGTGGTAAAGTATTCTTATTCTTTCTTAATTTTGACTGCATCTAACGAAATATTAACACTTGGAAACAATCATAAAATAACAAAAAAATTCCTTCAAGCAAATTTTTAATAGTAGTTAGATAAAATATAATATTATGTCTACTACCATTGAACAATCAATCTAGCAAAGAACTTAATGGGATAAAAAATAWAATGAATTTTTACCAATTTGTCTTCCTCTCATGCTCGCCGCCATCTTGGATTCTGACATGCGCATGCTCTGTCTGGTTTGCCAACGTGTCCGAACTTCAACACAGGCAGCCCAAAATACCAGATAAAAACATGGTTGACAGCTGGTATGTACAGTTCTCAATACTTACTTACAGTACTTAGCATATGCATTGTAATAGAAACCGGATCACCTCCACCCTTCCAACTCAAAATCAAATCAAACTGTCTTGATTTAGTGGAAAGTTGTTCAGTATAACAACAACAYAACGCCATGTTCATTTTATTCTTTGAACTAAGTATTTCAGCACCACATACACGTGGTGATAAGTTTATAATCTTATTCCTGTACTGTCAATTTCATATGAGCAGGAGCGAAAAATTAAACAAAAATGAATCCATGTTGGCAAGTGTCAATTACCACAAACACCTTCATTTTCAATCTGTAATACAGTACAATTATGCTATTGCCCCATCATGCAACCCTTATATTGCACCTCAATCCCTTAAAATGTAGTGTAAATCATGAAATCATCTATCACCATTGTAGCCTTTCTCACCCATATGAAATTGACTATATTTGTATCAAGATTTTTATGATGATCATCATTTGTCAGGTGCATGCTAAATATCCATGATAAAAAAAAGGAATTGTATACACTTCTTCATTACTGTAAGAGGAGTTGAGAGTCCAGTATGAAATGGATTGGGAATAAATGCTGAGAATGCCTAAATATCAATACGGGAAAAGAGAGAGAGATCTGATACCCTCATCTAGGCAACCTTTGGGAAATATACACTAATGCAAAACAATAGAAAACAATTGGAGTTTTGAGAAGTAACATTACTTTATACCATCATGCCTCCTGTCTGAAAAAGACTTTTCTGTGATGATAGCATAAAATCAGTGAAATTTCATGGATACATAGCATGCAGTCTCAACTTAGGCAGCACACCCCTTCCATGCTTTCTTTTATGCAATTATTTTCTCTATTATTTGTTTTTTGAATATAACAACAACAAAATACAAAAAKTATCAAAAGCAGAACAAGGAAAGTATGCRTGTTCTTACCTTGCTTGGTTCACATGATCTCGTATAAATTTCTATGTGTAAATTACCAGTGGCAGGATGCCATAGATTTGCATGTATCCCACCTTGCTTATACCTCATGGAATAATCCACAGAGCATGCTATCATGAATCAAGCAAAGAAAATGGCACACTTGTGCTTTTTTTTTTTTTTGCATTCTGTTTTTCAATATATTTTGTATTTATTCATCAATAAATTTATRACTTACATTAACACACACAGAAAAAAAATAAATGCATAAAATTTTGCATTCAAGTGCAGCCTCCATGTTTTCTACTGTTGAGTAATGTCATTTAATACTAATTTGAGTTATGACAAAAAAGAGAAACACAAAAACTATTTACATGTGAATCAACATAATCTTTTGCTCATAACAGCACAGGCAGCCCATCCATGTATGATAACAACATTGGTCTAAATGCTTTACAATATCATTAAATATTTTAAAGAAAAATATAAAACCTTTCATCTACATGTAGTTAAACATGGTTGAATTGATGCTGCCATATTAATGTCTAAGTAATAATTACATTGATATATTCAGTTCTATTGTTTGGCAGTGAAATAGAGGTAACCATAGTTGYTTTATTGCATATGCGTCAGCATAAGGTAGGTGCGAGCTTTGAGTGGCATTTTACAATTCTAATMCTAATGACATATACAACAGAAAGACCAATGATTGTCATTACTGGACCATTGTCTCACTAGCYGAATCATTGGTTTTCCTGTAAATACTAACCTATGTACCAAATGGTTCCTATGCAAATTGACAAATAAGGAATAAAGTTGTAAAAAGGGCAAAAAGTACTAGATAAATCCTTGTCCAATGTTTATAAAATCTATGAAGTGGATTAGTTAAATGCACCTTTTCTACCCTTTGTACAAGTTATAGTGATTCTATATGTGCAATTAATTATGTTACATCTATGGTTCATTGTTGCCATTGCACATGTTATGCTTCCCTTGATCAATCATACTACAGTTCCCATTGTCACAACGCCCTGAATTAGAAAAACCAAATTATAAGTTACTACTGAACCGAGCACAGTCCTTACTAGGGATGGACAAAAAGCATGTAAAGAGCTATATCATCTAATAATGCTTGTTGTTAGAAAGGATGRCAAAATAGTGATAATTGCCTTGTGGAGATATAGCTGAAAGAAACTTKTAACTCTAAGGAATGAGTCACTTTGAGCAAAATAAAGATTTGATGGACAATTACAATTTCTGTCAATATTCTGTCAATTCTATTTACCATTGGTCAATTTCTGACAACCAGGAAATAGGTTTGCATTTTTTACATTATTTTAGTGAAATGTGTTTATATTACTGGTATTTAATCRTGTGTACAGTTGTTTGCCTGGCAAACACTTACCACTTTACCTGGTCGTGCCCATGTTCTAATGAATCCTTCCTGGCAGGCTGTTACAATACAGTCCTCTCTAAAAATAATGTCTGTTAATCTCTCATATGCAATCTTTTTTGCAACTAAGGGCTCCAACATAGGTGCATCTTCCATTCGAGGGCACAATGCAGTGCCTGGAGAATAGTTTTTAACAGTTACTAACTGTTCAACTGATTTACTAAGACTATGTACTTTTGTCAAACTCTTTGTGTGCTCACTTGATGAAGACTCCCAACTATTAACAGGTCCATTACAAATAGAATTCGAATTAAGAAGATGTGAATTGGAGGTTGTATGTGCTCTAACACTGCGACCTCTGGCCCTCTGTGGCCTCAAAACATCTCCACCCAAGTCCCATAATAGGAGCATTGTGTCATGTCCAACAGATCCAAAACGATATGATGTGACACCTGCATTAGGAGATGAATGACAGGGTTGTGGCCCGTTTTCCTCTATATCTTCTTCATCACTTTCATCTACATGGCCATCTTCACTAAAACTTGTGGTATAAGGATCAAATGATACAACACTTATCCATGATTGATGTCCTTGCCCTCTGGCTATAACTCTACGCTCATGAAATGACCATACAGTAACCAGATCATCTTCTCCCCCTGTTACAATATACTTGCCATCAGGGCTCCAACAGGTACATGTTAATCCTCCAAAATAACTCTTCATTACACCRTATAGTGTTTGAGCATCAAAATCAAACACTCGCAGGCAACCATCTTGTGTAACAACTGCTAAATGTTTACAGTCAGGAGAAAAGCAAAATTCATTGATACCATTTTCACCAACTGTCCATTTGCAGACAGGATTTCTAGTTGTCTTGGATTTTCCACTTGCTACAATATACCCAGGCCCTTGCTTCATCAGTGCATACTGAGGAGGACCGGTACCTGGTGGATTTTCTTTGTTGTATACATACATATTGCTACTTTCATGTGATACTAAAAACAAYGATTCAGAGCCTGGAATCCACTTTAAACAGGTAACTTTTGTCTTGTCAACTGTTCTCTGTTATGAACGRAAGAACACTATCAAYATCAATCTCAATAAGGCGTGAAGTTGTTTACATTTATAAACTCAMCATAAACTCAAATGTTTTGATAAAAAATTTAAAGAAAGATTTTTTTAAAYAGATMACCWCAATCAAGGTGGTCAATACTCACATCTTCATTGAAAAGCTTGTTCACTTCATGACGTATTGGATCCAATAACTGCACTTGACCAGCAGAAAAACCTATCAATAATTCTAAACTTTCTGAACATCTTGTTAGAAGATTAAAGTCATGACAAGTTGGAATTGTTCCCTTGTAGACYCGTTTATCCAGAGGCTTTGTAAGATCAGCAGCCTATGACAAAAACAGATGTAATTAGTTCATTGAAAAGTTGGTAATAATGTATCAAGAGAAGGACACCCATATTCGATATTAATTTCTGTACACAGAAATCACAGATCACAGACTTCCAAGCAGACAGTTATGTTCACAAGATACAACTAAAATAACCTAATTGACTTTAAAGATGACGAGCCAGCTGATAAAATGTCAGTTAAGTGTCAGTTGTCTCAATTCTCAGACTTGTAAACCAGCAAAAACAATAATYATTTTTACTATAATAACAAGATAAWGATGACAATGGTAAAAAATCTTTCTAAAAAACAATATATCAACTAAATATATCACTAATATAATACAGTCCTATCAGCACAATTTTACCTTGATTACCAATAATCAATGACATGCAACTCCCTTAACACATTGACTATTTCTTAACCYAAGTGGAATATATGGTAGACACGGTAATATTCAATCTAAACGTCTGGATAAAGTATTATCTGGACATTTCATGTGCTATATAAAGTATCTGAATAATTAGCGAGAAAATAAAACACCCTGACAAACAAGAAAATTATCCTTCAATGATGAGATGCAATCAAGGAACTTATTTGTAAAGAATACACTTATAATAAATCAATTCATCAGAATTTCTGCAATGGATAAATTAGCGTCAAAAGTATATAATCTGAGAGTACAGCTAGCAAAAAATAGAATTCGGCAATATTAGGCAACAGGAAGTAAGATAACCTCGAGTCTAACATGAAAATATTTTCTGTCTGATTTTTCTTTTCTCGATATTTTGTGGTTTGTATCCACCAGTAAGTGACTTACCTTTCTTACCCCTTTGTATATGTAGAAATACAAGTCTCTSCCAACATTAAATGCGATACGATCGTTGCATCCTCCAGGTTCTTTGACCGTCACAAATGAGACCCTTACAGGATGACATTGTTGCACGGAGTATGGCATTTTATTCGGTCTTGAATACTCAGATAAAGTCATAAGTCTGTAAACACCTTCTTTGGTAACAAATTGTTGCTTTAACTCCGATGACGGGCCTTTATGGGAAGCCATTACGGCATAAATTTCTTCTAAACATTGGTGAAGCCCAGTTTTGCTTCTAACTTGCTCTCCCGTTGAGTAAATCTCCCCCGTACAACATCCTAAGAAGCGGAATTCCTATTGGTTGGTTGAGGTGCCTCCACTTGTTTTATTGGTTTTACATTGTACTCCTCATATTAATCTATTGCGTATAGAATTATCTTAACGCAAAAATATCATGTAGAAAGTAATTATACAAGTGTTTAGTGCATTTAAGTTAACAGAAGATACTTGGCACAAGATACTTGGTCGGTTGGTCGACAAAACGTTAGGAATCTATCTAAAATGTTTTGTGGTTATGCGGGGCATGCGCATGATTCAGAAGAYAAAATGCATGCAAGGTGTTATGGGTAGCATTTCTCAGTTCGTTTCCAGGCCCAATCCTCATCGTAAGGCGCATTGCCGCAGTAGTAGCTGAAATATTTGACGGAATTTGTTTAAAAAATATCAGAATTGTGTCATTAATACATGTAATGTTAAGAAAAATGAAGAATGTAAGAAAATAATGATCATTAATAATAATAATAATGATTAAAAAAAAAATGATTGGCAATACTGAGTCGGGATTCGATCCCGCAATCACCAGACCATCTTTGGATTTGTATGCAACGCCTTAACCGTACTCGCCACAGTACCATGCTCATTTACATAATAATAGACTACTTGACACTTTCGCCGAATAGACTACCCCAATTTGACATTATACTTTCGATAGTTGCCTAGTTAGTGCAAGGGGTTATCCATCAGTGTCTAGGGGCCGGATAGCTTCTCCCTCACTGGCTTTTTAGTTAGCGCGAAGTTAGGACCAATTATCGGGATAGCATGGAAGAGCCGAAATCTCTAACCGGAATGTAAATCGATTCGCCGCCTCAGCTTCACAGAATGTCTCGGGGGAATCGTCCCAACCTTTTTTCGATTTTATGGTCATGGGTTCGAATCCCAATACTCAAGTTTTTTTCTTTTTTCATATTTCTTTTTTTTTTTTT